TTACATTCTAAGAAGCTACATTTTAATTCTTGATATATGAGAATTAGTCATCGAGTTACTGAAACACTACTCGAAAGAATCTGCAGAAAATAGTCATATTTTACATCACAATCTTTCTTTATCACTAAACCGAAACAAAGATCAATGTATAAAATATGACAAACAGGTAACCAAAACCAACAAAATCAAAAATGCATATTAACAATCAAGTAAACATATATTAATATTTACCTAAGGAGAGATACGATGGATGTGTAAATATATGGCTACTAGAGGTTATTTCACAAAATAAGCAAGAGACGTCAATACGGTAGATATAGGATTCTATAGAGTAGATGACTATTTTGATTGTGTTATCATTGTCCATCAACATTCATGACTAATATGYCACGATTATTACATTCTAAGAAGCTGCATTTTAATTCTTGATATATGAGAATTAGTCATCGAGTTACTGAAACATTACTCGAAAGAATCTTCCTATTGCAGCAAACCCAGTTCTTAGAAAATTAGATTCTTAACGAAAAAAGAAAACTCCACAAGATTCAACAATTGAATCAAGCCCAAAAAAAATTCGTTCGGTATAACCAACAAATAAGAATGCGTATTCCTAATATTGTTAAAATTAATTAGTTCCTAATGAGTATCAATTAGTACCACATAAGTATCAATTAGTTCTACGGGAATCTAATTGGATGTTCTTGATTTTTTTACAATAAATTTTAAATATTTAACAATAAAATGGTTACATTGAGCTAAAAAACATCGGAATTGACAAATTCCAGGTACTAATGATATTTATTGAAACATCAGAATTGAGATCTGTGTTTAAATTTATTGAAATTTGAAATTTAAGATGAGATTTAAGAATGAAACTTTATTTAATTTTTTTTGCAAACTAAACTACCTGACAATCTAATTTTAACAATATTTTTATTATTTATTATTTAATCTAAATTATACTTTCAATATAATCTTCCCAACTGACCATATCTACAAGGTGTCCTAAAAACAGATTGTGTCCAACAAAATCCCTTCAATATTTGAGGTTACTAACAGACGGTCAATTATTTAAACCTAATTTATTTAAACAACATTCAAAATCGATCGATGAATACCCTTGTTGGATAACAAAAACAATGAGGTTTGGAGTATTACAAAACAGTCGATTAAAAAAAAACAGTCGACTACTTACCCTTGGAGGAGGAACGTCGAAATTTGGAGGATTTGAGAAGAAACGCCGATGGATGATTTCAATTTTTTATTTCAAGGGATTTTGTACCTGAAAGCTTCAAGGGATTTTGCCGAAGGAATGCCAGAAAYTAAAATTGGGATTTTGTACCCAATTTGAAATCACACAGGATTTCAATTGAAGCTTCAAAATTGAAATCACACAATCACTTATAATTTCAATTTTTGATTTCAAGGGATTTTGCCTAAAGCTATCCACCCATTGAAATCAAGAGATTTTGATTTCAACTAGAGGAATAAGAGATTACGAAGTTAGAAGATTGTGTACCCCAAGAGGGACACCGAAAGCTTACCCGAAGGAGGTTATTTAGGTTCTGGAAAGAGTGGGAAGATGGATGCCGAAGATTGTGTACGCCGAAGAGGGACGCCGAAAGCTTGAGGCACACGAGGCTTGAGGGGCTTGAGACTTGATTGAATCAAATTTTATTTGATTTTGGGAAGGAAGAGTTAGGGCAAGTGTGGGAATAAGGAGTTAAGGGCAAAAGTGGGAAGGTGTCATTTGAGTTGTCTTCCCTTCCATAATGAATCCTAATATGATATTAATCTTCAACTACACCATCTATAATTTTAAAAACAGTACTTTACGATTTCAATYTTTATTTTTCCACTTTTCTAATTTGATTTTACGTTTTTTTTAGTCTATTTTACACTTTGATTCAATCTTTTTTTTTTTCAAAGTATTCAACAAATTTATCTTATAAATTTGGAAATTTTGAAATCTATATGTTATTTAAAATTTTTGAACTCTATAATTTCCATTCACTATCTTCTTTCCTACAATTTAGGTGCACTACAAATTTATTGAAGGGTAGTTTCGTCACGAATTTATAGAGGTAATRGTAGGATAAATTTAACTATTTTGATGGGGAGGGTAAATTTGTCTACATAATAAAATCACGTAGTTCGGCTCTAACTGTTATTTAGCTATTTTTCTGATATCTGATTATTTTGGTCATTTTTCAAATCAAACTATTTAATTTAGCTATATCTCTTGTTGCCAAAAAAAAAAAAAAGGTGAGTTTTGAGCCGAATAAATTTGAGGCCCACTTCATATTCTCTGCCGGCGCATTTTTGGCCCATTTTAAGTAGTGCGAGGATTATGGAGGATATATTTGTAGATATTTACATTAATGGTGTATTATTGATCACTTTTATCATCAGATATGTTTTATTTTAATTTTTAACTCTAAAATCCAATTTCAGTCACTAAAGTTATGGATTTTAAATAAATGTTAC